CCCATCAGGAGGCAAATTCCATCTGCAAATTCAGGTATTTATTCACATAAGCTATGAGCATCTTTTCACAACTTTGAGCTTGTTTGGAGCATGGTCAAACCGTGTGTTAAATGCATCTCATTCATGCCATCCTGACAGTGCCTCAGTAGTACCATTTATTGCCTCCTAGATTTGTTGGGATTGGAGAATTCTAGATGTTTCTGGACCACCACAACTTGAATAGCCACATGATCTGGGAGTCTGATTGGGGCCTGAAAGTATTGTGATATTGCAGCCAAAAGGTGCAGTATTGCAATTAGACTTCCAGCATGGACAGAGTGAACGATCCACTTGATGCCCCTTGGAAGAAGTTTAAGAGCTTCATTGATTTCTTTTTCTAGTACTGTCTGTAGCTTTTATTTCTGAGCAATTTCAGACTGTGCGACTTCAGCAACATTGAGCTTCTTGCGCTTAAGCTTTTCAAAGAGTGCTACAGTCTTAGAAAGTCTTCAGCCACGTCTTTTTAAAACGATTTTTCCTTCTTCTATCAATACGTCATTCATCCCGTCAAGTAGCACCTTCATTCACTCTTGCAGTTTTGGATAACTTCTTGAATTAGGATCAGTCATTCCTCGGACTTCATTTTCCTCTCGCGTAACAGGTCAGGAGCCCTTGGAGAAGAGCAGCCGTTGTCATGACAACAGCAGCTCCCAGCCAAGCGCTTTCCTCCTCCGCTGGGCGCGGAAGCCTCCGACCAAAAGGAGATTTGAAACAGATCACGTGACGAAGTTCAAACGAAAGCCAATCAGAGAGGGATGATTTCCATGGTGACACTGCTACAGGAAGCAAACGTTTCAGCCAACGGAAGGCTGTCGGGTTTGTACTTTACCATTAGATAATGATAAAAAATGATATAAAAAAATAAAACATACGAAAAAGAAAGGGGGGAAAAAAACCCTTCACTTTAGTATAACTTTTATAGAGATAACTTATTAAAGCAGTCAGCAACAACGACAAGCACGAAGTCCCACCCGGAAATAAAGTCAAACTACACTTCCCATAATTCTGGGTAACCGGAAATTGTGTCCGTTTAAACGATTATAGCGGGAGGTGGGGGGGGAAACGAAGTAGGTTTGAGCTGTGGCCGGTTTTAGGCGTACTGGTAAGTGGACAACGGTTTTTCCTTCATCTTTAATCGGGTAATGGTACTGAGAAAGGGGGGGGGGAAGGACGAATATAAAAAACTAGCCCCTCGTCTTTTCCATGAAAAGAGGCATTTCCACGTTTATTTCCCTTCTTGCATCTTTTAAATCCGAAAAAAACCCTATCGGACTTAAAAAACGACAGCAGGTAAATAAAGGAACTAACGCCGTATTTATTTCATAGAAAAAAAATGCAGATACAGTCTGTCCTAGCGTTTGTTTCTCCCTGGAATAATTGGGGATCAATTTGCTACGATTCATGGGTTGCTTGGATCTAATGCTGTCTCTCTCCCCTCCTTTCTTTTCACAATAACGCTGGGAGGGTTCGTTATGATGACTGGCCCAAGATTATTCAGGGGCTTCATCACCGAAGAGGTGGCTGGATACCTCAGGGGTCTAGGTATCTGGCTTCTCTTGGGAGAAAGGCCCCAGCTGTGTAAGTAGCTTTGGGGGATATGCACAGCCCCAGGGCGCCCCCAGAAGAAGGGAAGGACAAACCACTTTTCAGTACTGTACTCTCTCCCTGGGAAACCATGAACAAGAGTTGCTGTAAATCAGAATTCACTTGAAGACACACAATTATTGTTAGCACTGAAAGGGGTTTTTAATCCAGACTTCCCAGTCCTAATCTAACATGCCAGCCCTGCCATCCTAGGTTGCCTATCTACTTTTATGGTGGTTATCTTTTGTCCACTTGATTGGAATTTGCTACATAGTAAATAGTTTTATTTTACAAACTTTCACTTGCAGAGCATATCTATGGATAAACCAGGACTGTTGCATAACCTGTTGTGTGAAAAAGTGTCACAGTTGCCCCCCCAAGGCATAATTGGGACAATGCACACTTCAAAATTTCTGCTAAATGTTTCTCTGTTTTGTTAATACAAGTGCTGCATCTTTTTCTTGTCTGAATAACTCGTGCATGTCTGGGAAATACTGTTACAGATGTCAGACAGAGGAAGAATGAAAGCTGATGTACTGTAGGTAAATGTATTCTTGTAGTGGTCTTTTAACTTCATAAAAAGTAAATTATGGGATGAATTTTTGTGTATTCTTTCCTATTATTAATCAGATTATGCAGAGAAAAAATATTTTGTTTTTCAGTTATTAAGAGACTGCAAATTGAACTTGCCAGATTTGGTCTCAGTGCAATTAAGATGAATCTAAGTCTTTATTTGCACTTTGATTGATTATACATTGTGGAAAACAAACCATGGATTGTTAATATGAAATGGTCTCAGATTATCTGATGCTGCTTACAAACTCTGGTTTTTTTTTGTTTGACAAACCAAAGTCTCAGATCATATTGTTTGCAAACTAAGATTTGTAATAACACCAGACTTCACTGGGAATTGACAAGTTTTGCCCTCCTTGAAGAGGCTGTTGCATTATGTTTTAGATTGAATTTAAGAGCTTTTGAAATTGGATAGCGATAAAAGGAAAAAAATGAGAAATATATGTAATCTTAAATTATTGTCTTATTATAAGTTTTGAAGCACAAACTATGGCATACATTATAAATTTCTGTTAGCACAAACCATGGTTTCACATTACATTTGAAATGGTTATCTGTATCATGGTTCACAGTCTATAACACTGTGACTTTAACTTTCTGTGAAATTAGACTAATTGTGACCCATCTCAAAAGGTGGAATAAGCTAAAGACTGTGTAGTATCTTGCAAACTGAAGCATGGTGATGCAAGTATCGATAACCATAGCGGAGTATGAAAAGAAGCAGGTGTCTGATGTTTATGATTCTTCTTTTCTGAACAGCTGACAAAACTGTCTGGAAAATGTCGCTCCAAGAAATTCTTCTTTTCTGAACAGCTGACAAAACTGGAAAATGTCGCTCCAAGAACCTGGAGAGACATCCTCCCTGTTTTCTGTGAATGGAGTTAAGGGACGGATGAAAGAAAAGAAACATGGTGTTTTAAAGACATCAAAACTGAATGTTTCTCTTGCATCCAAGATCAGAGCCAAAACAATAAGTAAGTCACAGTGTTTAAAAGTAATTTTAAAAATTAAAAGACTGAGAGTAAGAGGACTGATGAAGACCTCAGTCTGTAATTTTAGAGAACTGGTCCCTGTTATGCTGGAAAGTGCTGAGCTAGCCACATCAGTTGTGGGTACAAGATAAGGCTGTTGGATGGATTCATCTAGTACTGCTTATCTATCTGGGAACCAATGTTCATAGACTCCTCACGAGTATTATCTTGTACTGTGATTGCCATAGTGTATGTTTGACAATCTTATTAGTGGTTAAGTCACACATCTAACTTGCAACATTTAGGCTGCCTTTGACTAAGATGCTACATATTCATGTTGGAAGTGCCAACCATGTAAACACTGTTGGCAAGTTATAAACACAACATAGCCTAATAAATCAGTTATCTGAATGATTTATGCCTAATATGTGATCTCTAGCCAATTATCCATTAATTTTTTGTAAATGTGGAGTCTGGTAGTTTCCTGACAAGCACCCTGTTTGGGTCATAATTGGCAGGGAGACCCATAATGCCCTACTATTCCCACAGAATGTAGCCCTGCCAAGATACTTCCTCCATCTTCATCATGTATGAGAGAAGCCATTATTTCTGAGTTGAAAGTGGTAATTACAGAAGTTGTAGTCCAAGAACATTTAAGGAACCCAAGGTTGGGAACCACTGCTGTAGAGCAGTCATATTATTGTGGAGCTGAAGGAGAAAATCTCTTGCATCCATTCTGGCAAAAAGGGGCAACCTAATTTCCATTCTTCCCGAGGAATGTTTTTGGAGCAGATGCCGATGCCTACCTTTTGAGAGGCTGGGGTTCCTGAGCCAGAGAGCCCAGAGAAGTAGACTGAAGCTTTGAGGAGGGACAGGCGATGATTTTCACAAGTTGATTCAAATTTCCCAAAGTTTAGGATGTAGGACTCTGGTGTTATGTTCATATCCTGACAAGTTTGCAGCAAAAGTGCGTATGAAGTAAACTAAAGACAATGTACTTATTTTTTTCACCACTCTAGACAACTCCTCTATCATTAAGATCACCCTCAAGCAGAACAACAAAGCCTTGGCCCTGGCTCTCAGCGCTGCAAAGATAGCGGCTCAAAGGCTCACAGATGACAAGATGATCCTGCAGAAAGAGGTGGAGCTGTGCCACTTTGAAAATGCTTGCCTGCGTCAAAAGCTCTCCTCCGTGGTATGGTATCTGCAGCCCTGCTTTGTATCTCTGTGGTGCATTTTTTTCAGCATGATGTTTGTGGAGTACAGATTTCATTTTGTTTATTTGATGGTCAGGAAGATGTAGGCACCTAATCTTTGATTTTATTAACTCAGGAAGATGTAGTTTTGCAGCTTACATATATTTGAAGACTTAGCAATAGTGGTTATTATGATTTGGTCAAGGTACTATACAATAGATACTTTAAGGGATAAAGAAAAAATCCAAATGCGAACATTAGACGTACAGTATATTAGAGTCATTCCTTTAAAATTTGGTAGATTTTACTAGTTGGTCTTTAATTTTCCATGCTTAATTGATATTAAAAAAAGACACTGTGAAATTCTGAGTAGTCTTTAAAAGTACTCTTTTTTTTGTCTGTTGCAGAACAAATGTGTAGGTGAACTGCAGCAACTTATGAACAGACATTTGCAAGCTGCTTTGAAGCTGAGCAGATTTTCTGAGGTGAGCGAGCTGGTCAGTTTCATCTGTTGAGAATGTCTGTCTCTTTTTATCAGGTTCCTGGGTAGAAGTAGAATGTTTGTCCTTCATTTGAAGGGGAGAACTCCTCATAGTCTCCCAGCCTTTCCTCTAATTCTCTTGAATTGAGTGTTGTTGTTTAAGAGGCAGATTTTACCAGTCTCTTCCATATTCCTCCTGTTATCCCAACCCTGCAGAACATGTCATCCTCTTCATTACTGAACGACGAGGAACATCACTGGACTGATAGTATTGCAGGCAACCAGGATGGTGTCAACTGCCTTTCTCAGTATGTATAGAAACACATTCTGCTAAGAACAATTAAGGACGTTTAAATTTATGATTTTCATGAGATGTGCAAATGAGCTTAGCTTATGGCCGCATTTTTCCACCTGTTATTTAACACAATTTGGAGAACATGAATGGGGATCATTGCCTGGGCATTTCTTGTCTGCATGTAAAGATCTTTCATTTATTCCAAGTTTCTGGAGTAAACCCACATTGCAAGAGAAAAGGTTGATGTTCTACCCAAATGGATTCTGGGCTTAGCATTCTAGATGGTCGGGGTTGCAAATTTTAGAAGTACAACAGTTTTGAAATTGACTCTCTCTCTCTCACTTAACTTGAAAATGGAGAAAGCTGAGACTGGCTTCACTGCTGCCCACCAGCAAGGATAAAGCAGTAAATCCTTGCCAGTAAAGAAGGATGGGCAGCTCATGGAGCGGAAAGCTGACTGGAGAGGTGTAGGGTTGTCTGTGCCTCACTGCTCAGTCCTGAAATTTTCTGAGCATGCACAAAAAAATCCTTTCCTGCTGGGTAGACATGGTCTAGAGGGGCGGGGTATAATTTAATTAATAAAATAATTAATTAATAAATAAGACCCAGAGGGCTTACAGCTTCCTATCTTCCTTGGCTCAGTTAACTGAATCAGAAGATAAGGAGACTGTATCCCCTTTGCACTCTGGGGGGAGGGTATGTTTGGTGAACAGAAGACTGCCTTCTGTTTATTTTATATTTTGAACTGAAGCTCTTGAATATACTGCTGCTTTTTCTTTTTTAATCTTCCCCACTTCAGAGCTGCACCGAAATCTCTGAGAATCCCCCTCTCTCATGTGGATGACGATGACAATGAACAGGATAGAGGCTTAGGAATGGCCACAGTCCCAAGCTTGCCAATGCGCCCTTCAGGTGTGGCAGCTTTTGGTTTGGGCAAGTCTTGGGACAGTGTGCCTCCTGCTACTGCAGAAAAGCCCTTTTCTTCTTGTCACAAAGAGTCATTAGCAAGCAGTGGAAATCATGTTCAAATGTTAAGTGAAGAGGATGGCACCACCTTGGCACTTGACTTGAGCAGAGTGTTTGCAGGTATGTTACGGCTTTATCTTTGAATTCCTCTGCCTTAGGCCATAACATGCTCTGTGTTTATTGATAGTGCATGTAATTGGGAATCCATGTTCTGGGCATAGCACACATACGTTGCTGTTTTAGGAATAAGACAACTCAATGAGATTTGCTCCTTTATAAACATGGATAGAATAAGACTGTATGGTTGTTTCATGGAGATAGGAAGGACTGTAGTTTTCTTTTTCTTCCAGCCACAGAGATGTTCTTGATTGCATCTGCACTATGTCTGTATTTTTCTACTTAATTTTTCAATCTCCAATCCAGCATTATGGCCAGTTATTCTTAACGTGGCCTAGCAAGGGACATAGAGAGGTGTTCTGTAATCTCCATATAAAATTGAATATGATTTTTTTTAACCCATGAGGAAATATCTTTCGCAATACAGTACTTGCGAAACAATGAATTCTCTTACTGTCCAGTATTGGGCATTGGTATAAATGTCTGTCCTGTTTAGTTTGTTCCATTAGAATTCTGTGAATGTTTTAATACAGAAGATCTAAATTTCTTCCATTGCTCAGAATCTGTGCATTCCAAGTGACAATACTTGTGGGCTGTCTGGGGGGGCGGAATGGGAAAGCGATTCATTGAATGAGACATCATGGAAGTCTGAATGTTGCATCATAGTGTGAGGGCTGCACTAAATGTGGGTAGGGTTGCCTTCTTTCCATTTCAAAGGTTACTTCTCCTAAACTATTTCACATACTGTACCCGTATCTCTGGCAGGAGCAGCTCGAAGTAGAAATAGGAAGGACAGGAAGAGAGATAGAAATGATTTTCTCCTTGAGTTGATTTGGTCTTTTTTTTGCCAGTGTGGAAGGTTTCATGTATCTAAATGGGCTAATGTGCTTCCTGCAGAACTTGGAAATGGGTTTTGTTTGTTCGTTTTGGAGCCTCAACTGGCTGAAGATTTCTGAAGCTGTGGTCCAAAACATATTTCTAGGCTCTGGTTTAATAGTTCTGTTTGTGCTAATCTTCTAAATGGTTTGTCACTGTAGACAATCTTCCGAGCGCACTACAAAATTCCAGAAGCTGCTCACTGTCTGCCCTCAGCCGAGGTTCCCGCATGGAGCAAGACAAAGACATTGCCAGGCCATGCAGCGACAGTGTGGTGTTACCACATGAGCATGTAACACAGAGAAAGAAGCGCAGAACAGGATTATCTGATACATCTGGTGGTAGCAATTGTCAGGTGGAACCATCAGATAACGTGTTACTTGATGACCTGCAAGGGCCAATGGAAATAGAATCTACTGCTAAAAAGAAACTTGAAGTCAGTCAAGTTGGTGAGCTTCTTACCCTGAGCTCCAAAAATAAAAACTATAGAAAGATCAAAGCTAATGAAGCCAAAGCTCTAAAGAAAGTGAGTGCTGGAACAAAAGATAACCAGGAAAAAAGAAATGTTGATAGTTACAACGATGCTCTGAGACCACCCGAAACTGACAGACTGAATAACAGCAAGATAAAAACCCCTAAGAGTGCATGGTTTGCTGAAGATTCAAGGCAAACGGATCCTCTGGAAGAAACAGTGGCACTAGATGGCTGCAGTCGGAAGGAGGAGCATAGTTCCAAACACTTTGATGGGATCACAGTTTGCAGAAGATCCTCTGTGGTGAATCCAAGCCACGTAAATGACTGCAATCCTTTGAGAACATTCTTGGAGAAAAAGAAGAATATAGAAATTCATTTCCAAAATCCGGAGACTACCACTTTATGCAATCAATTTCAACAAGATGAGATGAGCAGTGGCCACAGAGGGCAGCGTTTGTCGTGTTCTAATAAAACCAGAGGCATCAGAAGGACATACGTGATAGATCCAGGATCCCAGCAGCATAAGAATGATTGCAGCCCCTCTGCACATGAAACGAAAAGAAATAAACATTTGGAAGACTTAGAGGAGCTGAGCAGCTTGTTTCCAAATTCACAGTCAAGCTTGTTAAACAGTAAGGCACCTCTTCGTGCTTTTAGTCCACAACACTTAACTGATATCCAAAAGGAAATTCCTAACCAAGAAACAACTCTGGGGCTGAATGTGAAGCGCATCAAATCAAAGAGAAAGACTCAAGAACTTGATATGGTGCCTACGTTTGGTGAGACAGAGGGAGAATGCTTTGATGTTAACATGCATTCCCATACTCAGCCAGAAGAAAGTAAAGTGAAGAAAGGTCACAAAAGCAAAGCAGCAAAAACAGGAAAGGGTGACACACAGAGAGAGCATTGCAGAACCAGCGTTGAGTTATTTGAGCCGATGGAAAATGCTTCGAGAGTCAAAAAAAGGAAAACTAATTTGAGAATGAGCACAGTGACCCCGAGTCAAACAAATGCAATCACTCTAGAAAGCATGATGCCAGCACCTCCAGTTTCCATGGATGATGATGATGATTCTTTTGATGATATAGTGAGGAATTCAACTAAGAAACCACAAAGGGTTCAGAGATCCTCAGGCACTCAGAGCACCATTTATTTGAATCAAACAAATAGCAGCTCCTCACAAAATGTATATCTGGGTGGGAGCAGCCAGGCGAAAGATGTAAAGAAACGGGTAGATGCCAAGTCAAAGTTAAACAAGAGAACAACCTACACTATAAAAAACCTATCAGAAGTGTGTGTTGCTTCCAGTTCTTCTTTACCAAGTCCAGAGGAAGGGAAAACCAGCCAAGAGGATCAGCTAGGGTGGAACTTTCTCCGGGTTCCAGCTTCTAGGACTCAGCAAGAGGTGCTGACTGGGAATGTGATTGAGGCTCCATCCCAGTTTGTTTCCGTGGCCACAGGCCCCAGCATTCCCAGGTCTTCTGCTGTGGACTCTACTGAGACCATATTGCCAGATTCCTGTCCTTCTGGGCACTCGCTTTCTGTGCTTGGAAATACTAAAAGTAATTCAAACCCTGGAAGAAACTCGACTTTGTCTCCAACCTCAGCAACTTTCAAGAAAAACTACACCAAGCGGGTGGTTTCTGGTAGAGGACGGAAAAAGACAGTGTTAGCAACTCCTGAAAAAGCCTTACAAGACCCAACATCCCAAGGAAATGGTGAGTGATAGAACGGGCTGATGTGAGCCAGTGGTGGTTTGGGCTGGGCTGTCTAATCTTCTCAGCTGTCTTTGCCTGCATCCTCTGTGCAGTGGTGGTGTCCATGGCAGAATGTGGGAAGTTACTTTTAAAAAGAATTACTAAAGCAGCATAACATGGTTTTGGGGATGGCACTGAGCAGCCCAAAGCATATGTTATTTATGACCAACATGGTATTATATTTTTCTTCATAAAAGTAACTTCCCAAGCTGTTGGTACATGAACCTAGAATCCTGCCACTCCAGTAGGATATTCTCAATGTTGGTTAATAGATATTTTGTTGCTATGTACCTGAAATGGATGGTAGACATATAACATGTTTCTGGTAAAGGCAAGGCAAGGAAAGCAGAATGGTCTCTGGCTGAACGGGTGGCTGTCCCACTCCTCCACCAAACCTTCAGTCAATGCAGAAAGTGAACAACACAATGTAATGCTTTGCTTTCTTGATGTGAACAATTTGTGGCAGGGATCTAATGAAGAAACCTCTGAATGTTTTTTGTGTTCTTATAGTCTTCTGTCACCAAACTCTGAGAAGCACAGGTTTATGATATTATGCAAACTTTTATTTCCTGCTTTTGAATCCTATGTACTGCTTCCAAGTTTGCCTTTGGCTTTTTTCAGCTTTATCAGCTTTTATTTATTTCTTTATGTGAAAAAGGTATACAGCACGCTTTTAATGCTTGTGCATCAGCTGGGATAGTTAATAACAAATCAGCCATAAATTGCAATAAAATGTCAGAAAATTGGCAATTTAATAACAAGGACAGAATAGTATTTATAATTCATGTACAGTGGTGCCTCGCATTCCGGCGTTAATTTGTTCCAGCGAAATCGCTGTAAAACGAAAACATCATAATGCAATTTTAAAAAGCCCATAGAAACACATAAAAACCCGATTAATGCGTTCCTAGGGGCTTGAAACTCACTGTCCAGCGAAGATCCTCCACAGCGCGGCCATTTTCGCTGCCTGTGTAGCAAGGAATCCGTGCCAGAAAAGAGCAGGCGGCTATTTTGCTTACCCGGTGGCCATTTTGAAACCGCTGATCAGCTGGCCGAAAATCATCACTTTGCGATGATCGGTTCCCAAAGCAGGGAACTGATCATCGCAAAGTGAAATTCCCCCATAGGGAACATCATTTTGCGATTGCAAAAACATCGGCGTCTAGCGATTTCGTCGTCAAACGGAGCGCCCGTTAAGTGAGGCACCACTGTATTGACTCAAAAGTGTGTGTGTTTACAGGGAACAGTATTAGTTATTAAGGGTATGTCCACAGAAGCTTTCTATACTGCTGTATTAGTGGTTTTGTAGGACAGAAATATGGGAAACTGTATGGATAGACACATGTAGGTGATGTAGCTGACAGACCCCATTCCTCCTCTCTCTTGTCCATGCAGAACAGATCGACGGTTCTGCCCAACATCTTCCTGTCTCCGATTTGTTAATGGCCTGGTTAGCTTAGCTGCTGTTGTTTGGGAGGGAAGTGGTACCCCATGTAAGGAATGCACCACCATCCCTTTAGGAGCCGAATTACCAGGCAGGGATGCCTTGAAGACTGCTGACTTGCTTTTACATCTCATTGGAAAATGTTGTCTCAAACATGTTTGGAAGCTAGTATTGACTAGTTTTTAATTCTCAATTTACAGCTGATGCTTTAATTAAGAGATTCAACTGGGACTTTAAGCATGGCATAACCATCACTTCATTACCTCACTTTTCCCACAGAGAACAACGTTCTGAAAGATGTGACTAATGCCAACCCACATTCCCATAGTTCCGTCTCCCCTGAAGCGTCACCAGTGCTTCCAAGCAGACGGAGAAACAAGGCAGTTTCCTATGCAGAACCCAAGCTGAACAGGTTTGTTTTGTGTTGGATATTGAGTATTGTTGTACAAGAAACAGGCAAAGCCAAGCACCCGCTTCCCTAAAGTAAGCTTCTATGGTTTGAAACATGGGAGTCCTTTCCTTGAGATGTTGATTTCTGGAACACAAACCAGTGTTGTGGACCTAGGAAGTGACATGTTACAACTAGCTAATTGCCCTAAGTTACAACATGACTGTAAATAAATAAGTGATAACTTTACTTCCTTTGTGATGTAACTGTAGCTGTTTTAATTATTTTCATATATTTCCCCATGCATTTGGGTATGCTTTCTGCTGTAATATGTGTAGCATTTTTTAAAGTAACTAAGGTTCTCTGTTAGTGCCTTTCAAATTAAAAACTATTTTAAAATTATAACTCTAATAGTAACTAGCTATAGAGACATGTCTTGGAGCTGTAACTAATTATCTTTAAGAAGTAATTTTCCAAGCTCTGTGATATTGTGCATGTGACAATTTGTATTGCATTCTTGTTTGTTTCTCTCTTCTAGCAAGCTGAGACGTGGTGACCCATATACAGTTACAGACTTCCTTAGATCCCCTATCTACAAAACTAAGAGAAAGAAGATGTCTAAAACATCTGAGACATCCAGGAAAAGCAAGAAAATCAAACAGGAGGAAATTCAGCCCACTATAGATTTCATAGCTGCTTCTTAGTTTCCCGTATGTTTTTGTTGCTTGCTGTTTAACTAGGTGTATCTGTATTTTGGGTATAATTTTTATAAAAACACTTCAAAATAAAACTTTTGGAAATATTATTCATTTATATTTCTTAATGCTCTATATTATACCCCCTTTCCGTGAAAATAAGACCTAACCTGAAAATAAGCCCTAGTATGATTTTTCAGGATGCTGGTAATATAAGCCCTACCCCAAAAATAATCAACACTTAAGTGAAACCCCGCCCTCCACCATTGTGCAGCAATGCAGAAGATGACACAGCTGTATTTGAATAAATGTAGATTGTTGTACATAAAAAAATAAAACATTCCCTGAAATTAAGCCATAATTCTTTGTGGAGCAAAAATTAATATAAGACCCTGTCTTATTTTCAGGGAAACACGATAGTAGAATAGTGATGTACAAAAGACTTGACAGACTTAAAATATGTAAACACGACCAGGGAGCTGTTAAAAACAAAGTCAAGACAAGAATGAAATCTAATCCTGGTTATAGCCAGATAAAGAGCCAGTTTATACACAGCTGCACGGGTGCAATTTAAAGGAGAAACAGGAACAATGTCAATCTTTCATTTTATTAAGTTAATGGGGTGTTAACAAGGTCTGGGATAACATAAAAATCTTTATCTGCTGCCAAAGACAGATTGTCCCATGGTACCTGATGTAGGCACAGAGGTGGTGAATCTGCTGTGCAGTTAAGAATAAAACCAAAACCTTCAAAAAATATTTAAATGTGGTATATTTCCTATAGTGTATCAGAACATAGGAAAATGCTGTACTCGGGAGAGCTGTTCTTTTTGATGCAAAATATATTTTAAGTATTTGAAATTCTGCTATGAATTTTTCAGGAGCTATGCAAGGTGATTGTCTTGTGAGATATACAGAACTGCAAGACTAATAAAGGGCTGTTCTACACCAGTGTCTCTTTCTACCTAGATTTCAAAGGAGCTTACATGTGTTCTAATCCAGCAGCTGACTTACCAGTGTTATGAAGTCTTTAATCTACTAACCCTCCGTTCTTCTGCTTTGCACTCTAGATAGAACAGTAGTTTGCCAGATTCTTCAGTGAGGGTTTTGGGCAGCCCATAAAATTCTTTGCCCCTTCTAACAAACTATTAAACAAATATTAATGCTTTAGTGGGCCCACTGAAAAAATACACCCCAGTTATGCTACCTGCAATCTTAATTTGACCAGGGTACCACTGGCGCTGATGTTGGGAAAGTGTGAAGGCAGGAGGAGAAGGGGACGACAGAGGATGAGATGGTTGGACAATGTCACCAAAGCGACCAACATGAATTTGACCCAACTCCGGGAGGCAGTGGAAGACAGGAGGCGTGCTCTGGTCCATGGCGTCAGGAAGAGTCGGACACAACTTAATGACTAAACAATAAACCTCTGGGGCAGCACTCTGTTAAAAGAAAACTTCTTTCTTTTTTGAAAGAAACCACTCCATACCAGTTCCTGTTAAATAACTGGGGGCCTCATAGGGCAGTCATGGAAGGGGAGGAGTCGAGAGAGAAGAGATGGAACAGGAGAACTGACAAAAGAGCAAGTGTTCGTGTTCTTCTTTGTGACCCTCTTCTTTCAGTGAGTTAGGAAAATGCAGTCTGTCTCCCCAACATAGTGATTTGCTGCTTGTATGGATATGGGTCTCTTGATTCTGACCTGTTACAGTGATGCCACAAGTTCACTTATTTGAGGAAGGTAGGTGAACTTTATTTAGGGTCTTTGCCTATTTACTGTTGACTTAAATAGGGCTAGGCTTTTCTGGAATGTGTTTTGTGTGTGTAGGACGCGTTTGCTACTCCTCTGTATGGTATCAGTAGTATTAACACTGGACTTTGAACCTGTTATACTGGGATGTTCAGAGGTCCAAAATTAATGCTTATGTCAACACATTTGCATTTAAAACAAGTGGTCAACTCTTCTGCACATGGGATCTGCTGCACCCTATTAAATTTGGGGTGGTGTGCCACCATGGGGGAAAAAATGAAAAACAATTTTTATTTGAAAAGAAGGAATGGCAGCATGCAGCCTATTTTAAACCAGAATCATGTTTGTGGAAGCACAATTCTGCCTTAAAATAAGATATGCAGTCTCCTCTTCTTATTTTCCAAGAAGAGTATAGGGATTTTACCCTGTGCGGTGACAAATAATTCAGGGACACATGTCTACCATTGTGATTTAAGCACTGGTGGAACAGAGATCAAAATATCAAAAATTTGGAAACTGGTGAATAAGAAGAATCCTATTATTGATCTTAGCAGTGAGTTCTGCTAAGGATCTATACTGGGCTTGGCACTTTTGAACATGTTCATGAGTTATTAGGAATATGAGGTGAGCAGAGCAGCAATGGCATCGGCAGATATCAGCAAACCTTCCAAGGGGGCCACAAACAGATCATGAAGAACTCCAAACTTTTCTCCCCACAGTGAGTGCATGAATAATAAAAAGGCAGACCCAGCCACAGTGTAAGCATATATAAAGTTCAACGTATTCGCGAAGGCTTTCACGGCCAGGATCTAATGGTTGTTGTGGGTTTTTCGGGCTTTTTGGCCGTATTCTGAAAGTGGTTCTTCCTAACGTTAACTGTGAAGCTCAGTTTCTCAACGCTGAACTCGACCACCTGAATTGGGCCCTACAGGCAAATGGCTACTCCAAAAATGAAATCACAAGAGCCATCAAACCAAGAAAACAACACCGAACTGAAGAAGAAAAACAGCCACCCACAAACAAAGTATTCCTGCCATACATCAAAGGGGTCACAGACCGCATGGGGAAACTTCTGGAAAAACACAACTTACAAACAGTATTCAAGCCCACCACAAAAATACAACAAATGTTACGGTCAGCAAAGGACAGAAGGGACCCCCTCACCACTGCAGGAGTATACCGGATACCTTGCAGTTGTGGCCAGGTATACATTGGAACCACAAAACGAAGCATCCACACCAGGGTCAAAGAACATGAGAGACACTGCAGACTAAAACAACCAGAAAAATCTGCAGTAGCTGAACATGCCATAAAACAAACTGGACATGAAATTCTATTTCAAAATACTGAAATACTGGACAACACCAGCAATTATTACGTCAGACTGCACAGGGAAGCCATTGAAATCCACAAGCATCAACAAAACTTCAACCGGAAGGAGGAATGTCTGAAACTCAACAAAACCTGGCTCCCAGCTCTCAAAAACACAGAGTGCAAAAGGTCAAGGAACTCCACCCAGCCACAAGGTCAAGGGATTACTGCACACAAAAAACCAGCTAATGACACCCATCAACCACAGGGACAGATAATCTCCCCTCCTTATCAAAACAATACAGCCACAACAAAACACACTAATCAACCATCTCCTGATCAGGACAATAGCCTATCTCACAAACTAGCCTTCTCACAGCCATAAATACTCCACCCACTCTCAAGCCTACCCAGAGCACAGTTTGCTGTCCTCTGAAGATGCCGGCCACAGAGACTGGCGAAACGTTAGGAAGAACCACTTTCAGAACACGGCCAAGAAGCCCGAAAAACCCACAACAACCATATATAAAGTTCCTTTGTAAAAGATCTGCTGCTGGGGCGTGTCCACTGTGTGCAATTTCTGCCATGAAGAAATACTATGAAGGTAGCATTTATAAAAGAGCGTTCTTTCTTGATAGTGGTGCCCTGCTCTCTGAAGGTTGGACTTTCGATTGTTATCTGCCCGGACGTGTAACAGAATTTGAGTGAGCACCTTTTATTCTGTTTGTGTCATTTGCACTTTTTAAATGCTGCGTACAATCCCTGAGATTTAAGTGGGAAGGCATTTTATATAGCATAACATAATTTTATATAGATTCTATGGACTATCCACATGCTTCAGCAGTGAGGAGCAATTGGATGAATGTGATATTTTTGAGTTCTCTTTCTAGCCCATTATGTGTTTGTCCATCTACCGTTAGAGGGTAATAACCCTCTGTCAAACCCCTTTCCGTTACCTAGAAGAGGAAATAAAAGCTACCTAGTTCTTTGTAGCAAGTACTCTGAACTGTTGGAAGTGTAGAGATATAACCAGTACAAGTTCAGAAGAATTATGCCTCTACAAAATAGCTTGACATTTAGTAATACTGCCTGACCTAGCTATGCTGATCTCTGGGTTACAGATTAGATTGCAAATTGCCCAGTGTGCTGTATATGAGTATCTCACACCCATTCAAGCGGTAGGATGATGTGAAGGTTGCACCACAGATTGCAAAATTGTCTTTCTACAGTTTGGAGAAAACAGAACATACCGCTAAGGATCTTAGTGGTTCATTTCAGATAAGCATCCCCTATAAACAAAAGAACAAACAAAAAACAAAGATGTCATGGACGGAATAGTGTTTAATTCAAGTTATGGAATAAAAGAAAGTTCAAATGGCTGCTGAAAGATACGTTGAGGAGCTGTGCCTTTACAACATACACCTGAAATCCGGTGACAGTCATTAGTGCACTTCAGGTTGGCTACATAAAGGACAAGACTTCAATTAACAAGTAAAAACTCCCCCGACCCCCAGTAAGACTAAACTTGCCTATAACAGGCTAAATTCAGTTTCTGACTTAATGCATAGAGGCAGTTGTTAGAAGAATCTTCTGCAGTGTTTGGTAAGAGCCTATGGTTGGCAAGAAAGGAAACCCTGATTCATAAAATAATGTTGCAGAACTTATTCTTGCCCCCAGGAAGCGTTCAGCACTTGACAGGGGAGAACAGCTTGGATGGTAAGAACCTAACAATGCCTTTTGGAGAATCAGCCACCAAGACTGTGCTGCATGCCTGCTCCCACTCCTCTGACAATTTAGGAAACCAGTTTTTAAAAAAACTATTGGATGTGACAGTCCAAACTTTTTTCTAATTTGGGGTTGGTTTCTCATATTCTGAAGTGCTGCTCCACACTGCAGTGCAATCTTCCAGCAGGCCAGCAGCCTCCCTTCTGGAGCAAGATTGAGGCCTGCTCTTAAAGTTTTGGCTGAGAAGAGAGCTTTGCCTTCAGGTTTTCAGCAAGTTTATCCATGAACTCAAACGTGTTCAAGTAATCGGAGCGTTTCACGCTGAAAGGAAAACAGAAAAGAAGAACAAGTGTTACAATGGTGTATAATATTAGTGGTCTTAAAGTTTAGCTAGTTTGGAGAACTCCTCAGCCATGGTTTGGTATGAAACTCAGTTTGGTTATTATCTACAAGATCTTTTTATTTTGTGGGCAAAACAGAGAACACTGTATGTATTCATTTATGTCTGCCTGTCAGAGGAAGTGGGCCTGATCCACAAAGCTGCCACAACACTTTTGTCTTGCTTTTCATTTCCATTTTGTTTTTGTTTTTTTCCTTCTTCATGATTTATTTCGTTAGTTTTACTAATGGCTTCTCTGTGCAGGAAAAGATTTATCATTCCTTCAATGTAGGATCAGTTTAAATTCTTTTAATTTAGCTAAAAAATAAAAGCACATAGAGTATAAATGGCTTCCAATGTATATAGAAACTAGAAAGATTTTAATTTATCTTCATTCATATTGGCCCTGTGCAGTGACTTCAATGATTATGATATAGATGTAAATATTTCATAAGCTGCAGAGGAAGAATAACCAGGTGTGGGGCTGACAAAGAACAATATAAAAACATTACAATCAACTTGTATCAGCATATTGCTCTGTTTTTTGTTCCTGAAACCACTACTTCTCTGCTGCCTGCTTGTACTGCAAAGCAAACTTAGAAGAGGATCATCAGGAAAGGCAGAATTTGACTGAGGTCTAACCTGAGGTTTAAACTGAACTCATACATGCAATTTGGATTTCATACACATATTTAATTCCTTTTAGATACACTGATGCTGTTGGCATACTTTATATTTTCACTGAACATCATAATGTTTCGAGGCTGAGGTTTTTTTCTGTAGACCTCTAAATTTTTATACAATAGTTGATGTTTTCCTATAGCGCACAACCTTGCTTACTTACTTTGGCAGCCCTTTGATGCACGCAGACAGATCTTTCGTCATAAAGCCAGCTTCAATGGTCTCTACACAGACCTCCTCCAAGGCAGAGGCAAAATTCTTGAGCTCAGTGTTGTTATCTAACTTTGCTCTATGAGCTAGACCTCTAGTCCATGCAAAGATGGATGCTAGAAGCAGTCGGGGCAGCGCGAGGGAGGAAGAAAGGGGAGAGATGAACCAATAAAAGCGTTAACGATGTTGCAATCACGCTTAGATGAAATATTGTACCCACATTTGTTTTCCCCCATCTCCACTTATACACAGGAAACCCAACAATCTAATCCTTCATTTGTTCATCATACTACGTAAAGGGAATTATCTGTTTAGCCTTTCTTGCATGATGGTTTGGCTCTCCACAAGCTGTAATGGAAAGTCTGCTGACACTCAGGTGTAATGTACCCATCTCAGTCTAGCAATTTAGAAGTCTGTTCCTTTGAATATTTCCCACTTTATTTCTTTTCTAAGTTGCTGGCCTCAATTTAAAATTTCACAGACTGGAAACCTGGTGATTTTCATGCAGTGCTTTTCTGCCCCATGAAAGAATGGCAGGTATATATCTGCTGAACAGTTCAACCCTGTGCACGCATTATTGTATTATTTTTTTAAAGCAAGGTGTGCTGCTTATATACTGCCCCATAGTGCTTAAAGCACACACTGGACAGTTTACAAGTTAATTATGGAGGCTACACATTGCCCCCCCAAGTGAGCTGGCTACTCATTTTACTGACCTCAGAAGGATAGAAAGCTGAGTCAAGCTTCAGCTGACTACCTGGGATTGAACCCTGGGTCGTAAGCACAGGCTGGGCTGCAGTGCAGCAGTTTAACCACTGCACCACGAGGCTTCTGCATTATTAACACAGAATGGCAGATGATTTCAATCCTGGGAACAGGTTATGGTAGGTTTCAGTCTTATGTGGCCCTGTCTATTTTTAGGCCATAGGTTCCCAAACTTTTTTGCCCCGTAGACCACTTGCCGACTTATTTGTTTTCCGTAGCCCCCCTGCCTACCTATGTGTGTGCCTGTATAGCTTAGTAATGAGAAATGACAAAATGATATCAATCCCATTTACAACACACCGACATTTACCATAAACTTTCACCAATAATTTTACAAACTTAAACAGAAATGTAGCACACCACAGATAATATATAGGACTTAATTAAATAATATTATGAAATATTATGTTCACACAATCTGTGTTTGGTGTAATTATGGATTGCCTAAATATTTATTATGATCTACCTAAAGGGATCTGCTCATGTACACCCCCACTTTCATCTCGTGCACTCCCAATTTTTTCACTCTCTGACACGGACCCCCTGCAAGTCAATATTGACCCCTGGGGTCCATATAGAGCACTTTGGGAACCTATGATTTAGGCTATGCAATGTATGCTGCAACCATGTCACAAAACTATTTTGCAGTCTCACTAGGACTCTGGAGACAAGGATTTGAATCCCCGCTTTGCCATAGAAACTGACTGAAGGTGTGTGGAACTGATAAAACCACTCCTTAAACATTTCACCTTGGAAGCCCTGTTAGGGTCACTATAAATTGGTTCTAACTTGACAACACATACCGTATTTTTCTGTCTATATGACCCCCCTATGTATAAGATGACCCCCAATTTTGACTCTTGCTGGAGGTGGAGGAGCAGTCAATGGGCAGACACGAGGATGGGCCAGCGTGACTGCATCTCCACCTCCTGCCGCCGCTTGATCACCTTCTCCAGAGTGACTTGCCGGGGCTCACCTCCAGCTCACATCGCCACCTTGTCCCCTGCCCGAAGGGAGCCCATGAGCGGCGCTGGAGGAGAAGGCGATTCTGCCGCCAGTGTTAGCAGTCTCGCAGCTGCCCATTGACTACTGCCCCCAGCGGGAGAATCGCCTCCTCCTCCAGCGCCACTCCTGGGCTCCCTTCAGGCAGGGGCCACGGCGG